TGCCTGTGGTCCCAGCTACTTGGGAGGCTGAGGCAGGAGACTCGCTTGAGCCCAGGAGTTGGAGGTTGCTGTGAGCTGTGAGAGTGCTGTGGCACTCTCGGGGGCGGGGGGGTGGGGTGGGGGTGCTTGAGGCTCTGTCTCAAAAAAATAAATGAAATGAAATAAAAATAGAAAAGCCAGTGGACAACGTGGCTCACACCTGTATCCCAACATTCTAGGAGGCCAAGGCAGGCCAATTGCTTAAGCTCAGGAGTTCAAGACCGGCCTGAACAAGAGTGAAACCAGTCTCTAAAAAATAGCCAGGCATTATGGTGGGCGCCTGTAGTCCCAGCTACTCAGGAGGCTGAGGCAAGAGAACTGCTTGAATTTAAGAGTTTGAGGTTTCTGTGAGCTATGAGACCATAGCACTCAACCCCAAGATGTATGAGTGAGATTCTGTCTCAAAAAAAAAAAAAAGTGTAATTAAAATATAAAAACTAGCTGGGCATTGTGCATTGTGGCATGCCTGTAGTCCCAGCTACTCAGAAAGCTGAGGCAAGAGCATCTCTTGAGCCCAGGAATCTGAGGTTGCTGTAAGCTATGATGCCATGGCACTGTATCCCGAGTGACAAAGTGAGACTCTTTCTTAAAAAAATAAAAAAAATTAGGTTTCAGCTTAGCTCAAGCATCTAAGGCACCTAGTCTCAATTCATATTTATAGAATGACCAAATGACATATTGTACACACAATACCTGAATTTCCTGAAATTAAACTGTTTAAAGATTTTTTTTTTTTTTTGAGACAGGGTCTCACTCTGTCACCCTGAGTAGAGTGCTATGGCGTCATAGCTCACAGCAACCTCAAACTCCTGGGTTTGAACAATCAATCCTCTTGCCTCAGCCTCCGGAGTACCTGGGACTTCAAATGCCCACAACTCCCAGCTAATTTTTCTATGTTTAGTAGACACAGGGTCTGGCTCTTGCTCTGGCTGCTCTCGAACTTCTGAGCTTAAGCGATCCACTGCCTCAGCCTCCCAGAGTGCTAGGATTATGAGTGTGAGCTGCCACACTGGGCCTGTTCAGATTTCTAAAGTAAAATGCCTGAGGACCTTCTTGGAGCATTGTAGTTTTTTTTTTTTGAGATAGAGCCTCAAGCTATCACCCTGGGTAGAGTGCTGTGACATCACAGCTCACAGCAACCTCCAACTCCCAGGCTCAAGCAATTCTCCTGCCTCTGCCTCCCAAGTAGCTTGGGACTACAGGCACCTGCCACAAGGCCCAGCTATTTTTTGGTTGCAGCCTTCATTGATGTTTGGCAGGCGTGGGCTGGATTCGAACCCACCAGCTTAGGTGTATGTGGCTGGCACCTTAGTCGCTTGAGCCACAGGCGCCAAGCCGAGCATTGTACATTATAGTAAACATTTTGCTCAGAACATTTACTAATCTAGTGAGTCATCATTGATCGCTAGACTTAAAATTTTCAAAGGTGGTACAAGTTAGAGACATTTAGCCAGACTTGGTAAAATGTTACTCAAGATACAAACAACTCAGTTGATATTTT